AAATTCAATTCAATTCAATATATATATATATATTGTAACATGTTTTGCTACGGAAGACGCCGTTCAGATTGTTAATTGGTTTATTTAACAACCTACAAGTCTTGGCTACAATTAATTATAACACTGTTATGGGTTTACACACTTTACAAACCCTACACACAAATCTCTTCACACTGTCGTCAGTAGTCTACACGTATTTACAGTATGATACGGGAGCTATACCAGTGTCACTGTATTACACACTCCCAATTCTCTTGTGAGTCAAGCATCTGCTTCTCACACTATCACTTCTAACCACGTTCCGGTATTCTTCTTTCCGTTGCAACTGAACTCCGCGGCTGTTCCATCTGCCCTGTGTCACTCCTACTCACACACTACTAACTACTACTAACTAATAAGAGCTAAAGGATCCTGACGATGGAGAATAGATNTGTATAGGATACATAAGAACCCTCCTTACCTTTTAATTTTTTTCCCATTTTTTCCCCCTTTTTTACCTCCATTTTACTTACCTGAGGACGGTAGCAGATCCAGCTTCCGAAACGTCGTGATTCAACTGACTGGGACGATGGATACAGTCCAGAATTTTAGTTTTAATACTACTAACTAACTGACCCTGAATAGTGTTCGCTGCTCCTTATTTAGCCTCGGGACGGACAAGACAGAAAATAGTAACGTGATAGGTACTGCTGTTGCCTGACGCCGCATTTGCTGATAGCCTAGCAACGCTGTCGGGAGTTGTTTACTGTTGCATAGCAACCGCGGCACCCCTTGGTGACGTCACCACGGAAGGGGGCGGGGTGTTGACTGGCCTATTACCATAGCAACGGCAATGCTCCGAAGGTGTTGCGTCACTGTTGGTGGGGGAGGGGGTGTCCTGCATAGCACAAATACGTCACACTATATATAAAAATAGAGGAATAAATTGAGACTCTTAGTTGGATGCTACAGACTTCTTAAAAAAAACTTCCCGTGATTTTAGTCTGAAAGCGAACTATACTGACTGAGTGACTGCTGCTGGTCAGCAAAGTTCACAACATAAAATATTATCCTAAATATTTTTACATCTTGGTATCATTTTACTTGTTTGGTTTTGAAGTTGATGGAAAAGAAGATGCAGTTGCTCTGGCAGGTACTAGAGAATAAACAGACAGCACAGAAGTATCATATTAAGTTAACTGCTGAGATGGGAGAGGTTGCATGCAGTATGGAGTATCTGCAGAGTGAACAGGAAGCTCGGCTAAAGGTTAGCACATAATATTCATATGCCAATTTTATGATGCATATTTCTTCCTGTTACAAATGTCTTTAATTAATTTTCTGATCGAACACATTTTCTTACTTTTCACTAACCTGTGTATATATTTACTTCTACTTCTCTGATTCCTACACCACTTCTTCTGTGGCAAATAATACATGTCCTTCAAATCTTAACTCTAGAAGCAGTAACTGAAACGGTTTCTGAATGTGTAAGCACCAGTAGCTTGTTAACTGAGTAAACCACTGTGAATTCTGAGAAAGAAGTTGCTTGAACCTTTCAAACTGCAGCTGAAGGTGGGGGACACATAACACTGTCTAAAACAGCTGTCAATTTTTGAGGGGGGGAGTACTGTGTCCTATTTTATTGAGAAAGAATCTACCTTTATAAGAACTTATGCTACTACATCTAGGGTTATATAATTAAAAGAAGTTTAGTTATTTAAATTAATTGGTACATGCCAATGATTATGTTTTCATAGCAAAGTGAAAGAAAGGACCAAGACATTGACAAAAGTTAAACACATTTTAATGGATGAGGTTCATTATATCACACCAACATCATCTGAAATTAACTCATCTCAGACAGATCATAAGTCTATACAGGCTCTTTTGCACTCTGCTGAGAGTGACTGCCAGTCTGCAGAATCCCAAGCTAACTTAAATCAAGCCCTCACAACTCCTCAGTGTGTTCAGCATCATGCCCAAGACCTTACACCAATACTGTCAAGGAGAAACTTTGAGGTAATTTTGTAATTTCCCAGTATACAGTAGGAAAATGAATGCATTACTGATAACTAAACTTTTGTATAAACAGTACAGAATTTTACTTTTCTGTTGGTTCATTGATACATAAAACCTTTTTTGTATTGGTGAATAAAGAGGTGGCATGGGTTTTGCTGGACTTAACTCACATGCCTACCAAACCTGAATTTTGAAGCCATGCAACTAACTCTCAAAATGAAAAACTAACATTTTACCACATATAGAAACTTGGTCATTATTCTGGCTACACCTTATGATAAGTTAATTCTCATTATCAACTTAAGAGTTTCCTCATTTCTGAAAACCTGTTGTATGGTATAGGAAAATAGCCCCTCTCCACTTATAGTAAGTTATAATCAAACAGAAGCACTACTATATAAGTTTTGAGGTTTTCACGGCGATGACTATGAAGAAAGTCGTCTTCTGGGTTTTGGCACCGTGTATTGTTCGTTTTGGCTGATGTTTCGGAGGAACGTCAGCCAAAACGAAGAATACACGGCACCAAAACCCAGAAGACGACTTCCTTCAGAAGCACTACTATACAGTAGAACTTGGTTATAACGTCATCAAAGGGACCTAAAAATAGTGTCATTATAAATGAATGTCGTTGTAACCGAAATGGGCACTTCCACAGTAGCCTTATGTTAGTCACGTAAAAATCTACCAAAAACCGAGTTAAAATGTTGCATTTTTTAGTGAAATACGTAGTTAAGTACAGACTAACGTAACATTAACGTGGAATTGCCCAAATGTGTAATATCAAAGACATATTACAGCGCTTTTCACTGACAATACACACAATATTTCACAAATCACTTTAACTTTCTCTTCAATGCTTAAAACTTTCCTTTTCATTGCCATGTTTTCGCTACTGCACTTCTCTGGGTTTAGGCAGGAACACTATAGGGTAAGTAGACAATGTGAGGTCCTGTTAGACGAGATTCTAGGAAAGGAATGCAGTTAACAACCTGCCGCGTCCTCTTGCACTATTCACGCAGTCCCACCCCACACCCTTGTTTTCGCATAAAACCCACGCTCCTCTTGCAGCCCGCGGTCGTATTCTTCCAGGACAGTCACGTCAGCAAGTAGAGAAAGTGAGGGTGGGCAGACACATCGAACTTTCCCACGATATCAGAGAAATTCAGGAATGAAAATGACGTTACATACGAGGTTGATGCATTTGTGCATGTCGTACTAAGCAAGGTATAAAAACAGTTGCTTTATGAGGAATTGGTTCGTACCATTGAATATTTGACGCAATAGACAAGGTGTCGCAGAAACCGATGTTGCTATAACCAAGTTTTACTGTATTTAACATGTGAAGCACGCATCTCTTGCTTCTTCTGAGCACACTGCTACACTCTGCTCAAAAACCATGAAGATGCTACTTAAGTCTATGTGCCTTCTATAGAGTGAGCAACTTAATTTGCTTCTTTTATGTTTATAGGCTGTTGTGGTGCATGAGGCTCAAAATGGCGTGGAAATGTTGAAGAAACCCTTGCCATTAGCATCATTCTCAAGAAGGAAAAGGTCCGTTACATCTCCAATCATTTCATCAGAAGATGAGAACAGTACCAGTGCCATGGCTTAAAATTAAAATTGTAAAATATTCTCAGGAAGGACTGCTTGAAGCATTGAAGATATTAATATCGTGTTTGCTACAGATGTGAATATGGTAACTTGTCTGAAATATGTAAGATTTGAGGCTTTCACGGCGTGACTATGAAGAAAGCAGTCTTCTGGGATTTGGCACTGTGTATATGTGGTGTTAACCGACGTTAACCGACCACATATACACGGTGCCAAATCCCAGAAGACTGCTTTCTTCATTGTCTGAAATATGTTTTTAACAGATCCCCCAAACAGGAATCTTTAGGTCTGAAATTGTTCAGTTTAAATGTCCATTTTTCAGACCAGTCATATACCCCAACAGTAGTGTTGTTCCAGTTCCTTTATATGCAATTTAACACTACCTTTCAACATCTTCAGTTACAATGGGGGGGAGTGAACATTGCAACGTAAATGAAAATTTGTGTTGCAGCGTTCATTATTTTTGTAATTCTAGCAGTCATCAATTTATTCTTATAACTACTTTTATTCATTGTTCTATTTGAAGTGCTTTTTTGTTTATTGAATTATTTTAAGATTATGTGTACCAGTATTGTCATCTTACAGTCATAACTGTCACAAGTGTAAAATTTCACCATCTTCTGCAAATAAATTTTTGATTTTTCAGATATCCCTTGCCCAGAATTGCATAATAATTTTATTTCAGTCCACATTTGTATAACGGTGAAATATATGAAGCTGTTCTTCCGCTCGAAAATTTTAAACATAATGAGTCCCAAATATACAACATCCCTGTCAACCACAACTTTTTGTTTTTCCAATATTGATGTCTTATTGAAACATTATCATGCTATATAATCAGGTGTTTTCTAGATAATGAATAATACCGGTGAAGACTCCCTTCGTAGTAGGCTAGCCAGCCCTAGTGTGAAGCTCTCATTGCAGCGAGCTAGCCAGCATAGTGTGCTTCCTTGTAGCAGCTGCTGCTGCAGTGATTTCTGGATACAAACGTAGCCATGACTGATGACAGTGTGTCAGTTGTCCACATCTTTATACTTTTGCCACTAGGCATGCTAACCAATGGGCGTTGGAACTGCTATGGTGAACGCTGATCAGGTAGCGCTTGTGTGGCTGTAGAGACAGCCTGGTTGCACGCTGCAGTGTATAAATATCACCTCTTGCTACACTGTGGGACTGTGGCTTGCTATATAATGTAACCGAACCATTGAAATCCTTCCCCCCTCTTTTTATTTCAGTAGTTTATAAAGTAGAATTGTAAGAATTACTAAGAAACAGGTTAAGACACAGTCAGAACAAGCAGATAGACCGAACTTGCGAGGACAAGGACATCTGTTAGTTCTTGCGTCCAAGCATCTGGGGTTGCTTCGAAAAGGGCAGAAATGATACTTCATGGAACCCCCATTGAGTTTCTTTAGAAATTGAGAAGTTGACTTAGAACGGCAAGCCCCTTTGAGAATTCGAGACGTGACAGTCGCAACCTGTCATAAGTCAAAAGTGGGGGTGCCAGGAGTTCATTAGCGACCCTCATAAGTCGCACAGCTGTCAATTTCGCCGTTTGGAATTTTAGGCCGAAACTACTTCTAAAACAATCGGTCATTGGCCGGAACCAAAAATTAAGCCAACTCCTCTTATTTGAATCCACCTATCCGAGAATTTAGGAGGAGGAGAGAGGAGGCGGATACAATTCAGTTAGGACCTCTGGCTCGGCAGAGAGTCCAGTTGAAGATTAAGAGTCTGCTACAAAACTTGGAACTTGGCGGAGTTAAAACCCGCGAATATACTTGCGGGTTAAACTAAGTAATTTGGGCAAGTGCAACACCGGCTGCTTGGAAGCCGAGACTAGGCCTGATAGTGTAGATTTTGACTCCGAGTGACTGTGAGAAACAATAAAGTGTTCCAGTGGCAAAGTGCATTGTGTTGGTCAGAAGTGCTTCACCCTCACTTGTCCAAGCCTGACCCTTAGCCGACCTGAGGAGAGAACCCATCACCAGCTTCCACCCCACTCACGCCTTCCCTCCTTTAAAATGAATCGCAAACAGCACCTAGCTGTTTGCTGGTGCCCATAATATCAGGTTCTATGCTGAAATCCCAACCCCTGTAATCAGCAACGGAAGGAGGAAGCGGTGGAGCCTGGTCAAGCCGGAACCAGCCACGCCCTAACAACTTCAACGGAGGCAGCACCAGGTAGGGCAGTCAAAGTGACAAGTGGCGACCACCTTGTGGGCAAGAAGAGACCTAAAGAAAGGGTGGGCGGTTAAAGAAAGTTACCTAAATTCGAATTTTCGAAGAGTTTGACCAAGCTTATCGGGTCCTTTTGTTCACAATGTAAATTCAGAGTTTTGGTGGAAGGAAAAATGTCCACGCCAAGAGAAATGCAAGCAGGGGTACCACAAGGTTCTGTTTTGTCCCCAACTCTGTTTAACTTGTATATAAATAATGCCCCCTAAACACATGGTGTTCATCTAGCCCTCTTTACAGATGGCATCTGTCTGTATGCAAGAGATTGTAAAGAGGGGTTTATTGTCAGAAAACTCCAGCGCAGTCTCAGCTCAATGGAGACCTGGTGTGAGTGCTGGAATATAAAAATTAATGAAGATAAGACTCGGGGGATCTACTTCTCTCATAGTTGTTGACTGCCTGAGTCTTGTCTTATGCTAAATGAACAAAATATTCCATTTGTAAATAGTGCAAAATATCTCATAATCCTTGGTAAGAAAGTTACATTGAGATTGCACACGGAAATGATCGAAGATGACGATGACATACGTGTATAACATGTTCGCAATTTCAATCAAAATTGTGACTCCAATACAGGCAAAGCACATTTCACAACAGTGCTGTTGTCCCTGTGTGCAACTTCTTTATGGTGTGCTAAATTAGTTGCACACAGTGCTGTTTAAAAGTTCTCCTTGTGTGCAACTAATTTAGCACACCGTAAAAAGTATAGGGAAGTGGATGTATACATCCACATTTTCTTCACCCCTCAGCTGCTTTATCTTTGAGGAAAGAGCCCCCAGAATCAGTCTGGCCAACGTGGAGAGGAGAAAAATCTTGCCCCTACCAGGACCTGAACTCCAACCCCTCAGCTGTCCAATACATAGCCAGTCACTACACTGACTGCGCTATCCCAACTCACACAGAAGTGTTAATTTCTTTGAAAGAACGCTTCCACACTAATTTTGCTTTCTACATTATTTAGATAGGTACTGGCATTAACTGTAGCATTTGTGATTCAGTTTTTGTCTGAACAATATCTGAGGAAAGTAACATCATATAAGGGACATGGTATCAGGCTCTTACTTCTATGATGAATGAAATTTTCTTGTGTACAAAAGTGGGAAAACTGAATCTCATAATATATTCTACCTTTGAATTAGTTCTGAAGCATTAATCAAGATAAAATTGAAAGTACTATCTTCCTATAAACTGGGCTATAAATAATGTTGCAATTTCAGCAGTATGAGATCCAATTTTGCTGATGAATGTTCTAAAACTTTAGTTGCTAAAGCTTTTTAAGATATACAAAATTTTTTAATGATTTGATTTTGGATTAGCTTCATTATAATGCAAAAACTATTATCCACATTTAATTTACAAAAGCACACATTCTTCATTATGAAGAGACTTAAAAATTGTCTTGTTCTATACCTTAAGCAGTTCAATTAGCCAGTGAAGTGAATTATAAAATGAGGCTGATGCATAATATGAAATAGAATGCTGTATTTTAAAATTATGGGCAAACAGGGAAGTTATTCTTGAAGACTACAATGTTTATGCTCTTCACATAAAATGCTTATTCTGACTTCAGTTATGTAAATGCAGCTGATTCAAGCAGGTGTAAGATTATAGTCTGGGGTCCATAAACACATTAATTCTATTTGGATTAAGGAAGAATTGCCTGATTAGTGGAAGGAGTCTATTATTGCACCAGTTTACAAGGCAGATAAAACTGGCTGTAGTAACTCTCAAGGGATGGCTGCGCCATAGCTCAAGTGGTTAGTTGCTGGCTTCCCACCATGGTGGCCCGGGTTTGATCCCAGGTCTTGTCAAGTGGGATTTGTGGTGGACAAAGTGGCGCTGGGGCAGGTTTTCTCAGAGTACTTCGGTTTCCCCTGCCAATCACCCTCACCGATCATCTGGGGCTGGTACATTAGGCCAGAAGTGGCCACAGTACAAGGGACTTAATAGATGAAATTATTATCAACAATAATTTCATCTATTAAGTGTGGGTTTCGATGTAACAAATCAACTACTGATCAGATCTTTTGCATTCATCAGATACTGTGAAAAAATGGAGTACAAGGAAAGGGTCTGGTGAGAGCTCTTGTGAACACGGTAATGAACCTTCGCGTTCAATAAAATGTTGTGAAACTCTACAGCAGCTGAGCAACTGGCGGCTTCTGAAGAAGAGTTCAGATCCTGGGAATTAGTTTGTTATGTAAATGCGTTTATATCCTACAACAAGCTGCACACTGTAGGATGCATCCAATCGCTGAATCCTCTTGTACACATCAAAATCTGCAAATCGTGAACCACTTCAAAAGACATGAACTCATTTCATTGACAAATGGATAGATATGCTCTGCTTCGGATGAAATTAACCTACAATCATCACATGAATTTGTCTTAAAAATACAAATATATGACAAACACTGTAGGGTATTAAAACCGTGTCATTAATTGGGAGCCATTGTAATACCTTCCAAATAATACAGAATAACAGCCAACTTACTCGTTCAATCTAATTACTCTACAACTAAAAAAACCACATTACAACATTCAGTCTACAAAAAAAAAAATCAGTGTTCATAATCATCAAGATATCACATCATACAGGCAGAAAAACAACAGCGGTGGCAACCGGTCGTAACGGTCGTAACTATCGAATCGATCAATATGGACTAAGATTCCCCTTGGTTTCCTACAAGTGTACCTTTTCTTTGTCGTGTGAAGACGAAAGGCAGTCAGATTATACTGAAATTTATATCACAACTAATTTAAATAGTAAAGATTAAATACATAGTTCTACCTTCATACTTTGTACTGGCACACTATTTTCTAATCTTTTAAAAGTGAGGTTAACGATTTTCATGCACTGATCACGCGTTCATCGAATCCAACTATGAAATGCTGAGTAGGTTGTCTTTCTTGCTGAGCTCGCGGCACGTTGCGTCTGCGCAATGTAAACGTTGTTCAAAGTCGTCAAAGTCTTGTTTGTGACTGTGACCATTATGTGAAGTTGATCGTGGAAGTGAGTTTGCTTTGTATATATGTTGTGTACAAAAGATATAATTTTTTAACGTATATCTGTGATAATCTGCAATTATATTCTACCACCAAGTAAGCCTGCTGTTTTGTATAATTTTAACAATATTTCAAATAGTGCATGCGGTACCTAAAATTCATTAACCAATGGAAAGTCAAGGTCAAAGTCATGCGCGGCTTTGTGCATACGTTTTCGCGGGTTTTCATGAAGTTCGTCAAGCGCCAAGATGGTGAGAAGAGAAGCTTTGAAAGAACAGTTTTCGTTGCTTGGTGTTAATAACGTTTCTGAAGAAGTGATAGACAAATGTGAGTTGGTCATTATAAAATAATTTTTAGTGTCCATAACAGTATGTGATAAAAATTTTCTATAGTAATAGAACTTGAACAATGTTAAGAATGTTAGCGCTTTGTCAGTAATAGCAAAGTATAAAAAAAACAGTTCAGTAGCAGCGTTTAAAATTATTGAACTGCAGATTACGTGTGTTTATATATATATATGTACGTGTAGTAATTTAATTCATACAGATCTATTAATATCTATTAATGTGTAGGGTGTGATGCATTGTTCGTGAGGAAACACGTTTTTAAATGTTGCGTTTGTGGGTTTGAATTTTCTGGAAAAAAAAAAAAAGACAGCATGTTTGTATGACGTAACATGTACCGGTATTGGGAAGATTATCTTCTATGACAGCCCTGAGAGATTTAACCATTTTTTTCCAGTTCGTATGATAATATTATATAAAGGCATTACCCCAACAACTTGCTATCTTTAGTGTGTTTGCAGTATAGGTTTAGAAATATCAGGCCGCACCGTCATTTTAGTCCGGAAGTTTAACCCCAGTTCTGGATTTCCGTATTGGTAATACATTTAAATTAATACTGAATTTATATATAACCATACATAATATATTTGTAATGACAAACACTGCATGGATTTAAAATTCTTTATAGAAGCAGTGGAATTTTGGTCAGTAACGTACACAACCTTCAAATTTCCCTGTTTTAGAAAAATTATAAGTGCCTAAATTATAGAATAATTGTTTTAACACTGTCCAGTATGATTCATTTTGTAGATATTTATCGTCTTTACGTGTTTCGGTTACCTGATCAGCTTCAGAAGGCATAAGATCAACATGTTCAGGAACTACTATTACAAAGTTTGTAATACATACTTAGAAGTGCCTCAAAACACAGCAGAAAGGAAACAGCTAGACATCACAAGGACACAGAACCATAACAAGTTAAAAAGATGGAGCATCACTGCAAGGACCTGTGAAGACTCCAAATAATACCCCAACTTTCTGTTTGAACAGAAGAGGCACAAGGACACAAACCATATTGGTTCAAGATCTTAAATATTAGACATTAATAGGATTTTAATCCAAATAGTTATAAATAAATTTTATGATGATGAATATTTTGGTGATTTTATGATAATTGGTGTATTGATAAATGATAATGAAGAAGAGGAGAATAGTGTTCAAGGTTCTGTGATAATATTTCATTTCATTT